TGGCTTGTCGCTCGCCCAAGCCGATTCGGCTGCGCTGGATTAAACCTCTGCCGTAAGCAGCGTCCCGTGACTCCTCTCTTGAGATAAACCGAGTTTACTTGGTCACTTCTCTGTTCCGAGCAGTACGCTTGTGTTCGACAGTGGGCGCTTGCGTAGGTGCATCAAGGCATGCCTCTATTCTTGCGGTGGACGTTTTTTTACGTGCTGGCGGTGTGTTGGTGCTGCTGTGAGAACGTATTCGGTTCTCCCCCCTGCCTCTTTCTCGCCGTCCTCACCGTCCCCCCCGTCCCGTCCCGTCACTATGCATGTCGTAAGCTTCGTCGTGCATCTTCGCCCCCCCCCCGCCCCCCGCCATTTGGCTCTCTCTCTCTCTCTCTCTCTCTCTCTCTCTTTCTTTCTCCACCGCTGCCATTCAATCTCCTCCACGTCATGTATGTATGGTGCTCTCTCTGCCAAAGCAACTTTTTCTCTGCCCCTCACGTCTCTCCTTACACCTCCCCATTCAATGTTCTCCGTTTTCTTCTCGCTCTCGCCTGCTGCCGTTTGTTTGTCTGCAAACCCTTCCCTCCTTGGTCGGGCCAACTGCATTGCGGAACCTCTCCTCCCTGCCGTCAGCATCGTGGACGAGAGAGAGGCGCTCTCTCTCCGAAACGCTATCTTCCAGGTGCTCAACGAAGCCCAACACCACCATCACGCGGGCGGCGGAAGCGACCCCCCCGGGGGTGCTGTCGTTCACGTCCGCATCGCGCACGGACAGATATTTTGCGAGGCGAGCATGTCGATCGCGTGCGGCTCGCACGGTCTGATAGTCGTCACTCGCTTATACAGCAGCGGCTCGTGAGACGTCGTCCATCATCGTTAGAACCATAGGCACCCCCTTTTCGTGCGCGGGAGATTCATAAACGGCCCGCTTGGGCAAACAAGTTCGATGCGATGCGGTGTTTTGATTGGCTGGTGGTCGGGCCGCGCCAAAAGAGCGAAGGCGGTGGTACGCGCGCACCGGATAGCCCGTACAGGTGCGGGTCGAGAGCAGCTGCTGGGCTGGGGGAGGGTCATGGGCTATGAGAGGGAATGGACCGGGGCCTCTGGGTGGCTGCTCCCATCAGAACCGCGGTATGTGTCTAGGGGAGGGAGCAGTATTTTCGGGTGTGGAGGGCATACGGGAGAGGTGTGTTCGGTCGGTGTCCCGTAAAACGGGGGATGGCCATGGAGAAGGTTTTGGCCCTGGCCTGACTAAACATGTTGCCCGCCTATGTTTTTGCAGCCTTGTTTGTTCTTGGCGCGAGCGGGGGAGGGGGAGGCGTCGTGACGATTGAAGTATGGATACGCTCGCCTTCGGTGCGGTGGTTTGTCACAAGACAAGGGCTGCTGCTGGCATTTGTTCGACTCCTCGTCAAGGTAATTTTTTTGGCATGGTTGAGTAAGTATGGAGCTCCGTAGGCCCCGCAAAAATGTAGTGGGGGCCTGGCTATGCATTCTTTGTTTTTTTGTCTTTTGTTGAAGTTGTCTGACGCGTTTCAGCTTTTCACGGCAGGCGCACAAATGCCTCATTGTCTGCACCTAATTCAGCAGTAGTTTTGGTGAAACGTGAAGAATCGATGCATTGGATTAAGATACTACTTGAAGAAGAGGGGACAGGGGGGCACATTTAATTACACAGGTGTCATCTTCGTTGTAGAACTCTCCGTCCGTCAGTGTTCAGTTTTTGGGTTGCAAAACGTTCCAGGCCAGAGCTTGCAGCGCCAGGGTCTCGAGACCAGACAAATTCTTACCCGCATTTGATCCGTGTTCGTGCGAGACTGTTCCTTGGGCGTTGATCGCCGTTCCGTTTTCTGTTTCCGTTGAAGATGGTGGTTAAACTCGTACCGTACCTGCGAAGAAATAACAACTGATTATGAAATGCAGTTTGCCGCAAGACGAATAGATAACTACCTCAACGATGCAAGGGGGAGACAGGGTTTTGGCGATGCTCAAGTGTTTTTCGCCCTTGCGCCGACCTCTCGCCATCCTAGACGAGCGGGGCGCAGCGGTGTGTGTTCAGTGTGGAGGTGTGGTCTATTATGATGTGCCTGTGCCCCCCTTCTGCGTTGACAAGTTGGAACTACACCTCACGCCGTTGGTAAGTGGAACTACGTGTGTGTGTGTGGGAAATTTTGTCGAAAGAGACAACAAACAGCATGAAATATTTTTTAACGTGTTTTTCGCCGAAACCTGTTGGGGGGCCAAGACACACTGGGACAGGGGGGAGGTCAGCTTCATTCTTCACCCTCGTGGTATTGGTGGGAATTGATAACAACGTAAGACCAGCGTTGATTGCTGTTTTCGGTGGATGTTATATTATTCTTGTATTTTCGTTGATGGGAGTTGAGATCAGGGGGGGGGGGGGGC